CCCGCCCCTCCCCCACTCACCGAGGAAGCCTTGCAGGCAGACCGCGCGCCCGCGGGGGGCGGTGGTGCCGTAGAACAGCAGCTGTTCCCCCGAAGCGCCTTCCCCCCTCCGCTCCATCTCGGCTCGGCGCCGCCGGAAGTGGCCGTAAAGCCGCGGGTGGATCAACTGCTCCGCCTGCGGGGAGCGGCGTCAGGAGACCCCACACCCAATTCGGGACCCCACACCCAAATCGGGACCCCAGACCCAAATGGGGACCCCCGGCCCTGCTTACAGAACTCGGGAGCTCAGCCCCAACTGGGGACGCCTGCTCCCATTGGTGACCCCAGACCCAATTTGAGACCCCAGACCCAATTCGGGAGCACCACCCCCACTGCGGACCCCAGACCCAAATGGGGACCCCCGACCCTGTATAGAGAACTCGGGAGCTCAGCCCCAATTAGGGACGCCCGCTCCCATAGGTGACCCCAGACCCAATTTGGGACCCCAGATCCAATTCGGGACTACTGCCCCCACTGCAGACCCCAGACCCAAATGGGGACCCCCGACCCTACAGAGAGAACTCGGGAGCTCAGCCCCAATTAGGGATGCCCACTCCTATAGATGACCTCAGACCCAGCTGGGGACCCCAGACCCAATTCGGGACCCCAGACCCAATTCAGGAGCATCGCCCCCATCAGTGACCCCAGACCCAAATGGAGACCTTCGACCCTACAGAGAGAACTCGGGAGCTCAGCCCCAATTAGGGATGCCCGCTCCTATCGGTGACCTCAGACCCAGCTGGGAACCCCAGACCCAATTTGGGACCCCAGACCCAACTGGGGACCCCAGACCCAATTCGGGACCCTCGCCCCCATCAGTCACCCCAGACCCTGATCTCATTTGGAGACCCCACCCCTCGTTGGGGCCCCCAGACTCAATTGTGGACCTCAGACCCCGTATGGAGACCCTGGGGTCACCAGTGCCAATTGAAGACCCCTGACCCCATATGAAGACCCCAGACCCAATTTGGATTCCACTGAACCCACTTGGGTCAGAAACCACTGGACCCCACTTGGAGACCCCCAACCCCATTTGGAGACCCCTGACTCCATCTGGAGACCCCCAGTCCCCTTAGGAGATCCCTCGATCCCATTTGGAGATCCCCAACCCCATATGGAGACCCCAGACCCAATTTGGATTCCACTGACCCCATTCAGAAACCACTGGACCCCACTTGAGACCCCCAACCCCATTTGGAGACCCCAGACCCCAACTGGAGACCCCCAGTCCCCTTAGGAGATCCCTCGATCCCATTTGCAGACCCCCAACCCCATTCAGAGACCCCCCCAACTCCATTTGGAGACCCCAGACTCCACTTGGAGACCCCCAACCCCATTGGGGGACCCCCTGACCCCACTTGGAGACCCCAGACCCACTTTGGATCCCACCAACCCCACCCACAGACCTCTTGTCCCTCCTTGGAGACCTCCCAACCCCACCTGGAGACCCCAGACCCAACTGGAGACCCCCAGCCCCCGCTGTGAGACCCCCAACCTGTATTGGCAGACCCCAGCCCCCATTCCGACACCCCCAGATCCCACTCGGAGACACCCCACCCCATTCACAGATCCCCAACCCCCACTGGGAGACCCCCAACCCCATTAGGAGACCCCCAGACCCCATTCAGACAACCCTGGACCCAATTTGGAGACCCCAGACCCACTTTGGATCCCACCAACCCCACCCACAGACCTCTTGCCCCCCCTGAAGACCTGCCGATCCCACCTGGAGACCT